GGATGAAAATGGACCTATCCCAGATGAAGAGATTAATACTGTCATTATTCCAGAAACACTAGAAGATGTAGATGATGAATTAAAGGAGTTATTTCTTAGTAGACTACATGACTTTACAACAAATGAAGACGTGGATCCTTTTGTTGAATTCCTGCAAGCTAAATCAATGTTAAATGAAATATTAGAGAACTAACAATATTATTTTTAACCTTATCTCTCTTTTAACTGTATACTGACTAAAGTTTGTTTACTCTCTCTTCTTCCTTGCCTTTTTCCTTACAAATTTTGTTTATACGTGTAGTTGTATTGGTAATACTGAATTATGACTGATACATGTTAATACTTTAATAATTATTTTGAAACTATTGAAATCAGAACAATTTACAATGAAATAACAAATGTCACAAAAGTGATACTAGTAATGATAAATGAAGAGTTCATATTGAATTGGGTCAGTAATGCCAATACAGTAATACAATGTTAATTAAGTCATTGTGAATGTAGACTCATGCATTAGAATGCTTAACTCTCTTGGTAGCTCTGAGGTATCGGTAATAACTGGTATACCTTTTCTGCTTTAACCTTGTCTTTAACATTCGAGGAAACCCCCATGCATCACCTAGTAGTAGTCAAAATATCCTCCATCTGCACCAAGTGATAAAAGACAGCCTAGAATGATTATTCAGGTTACCTCTTTTCTTGTTCCATAATACGAAGTCTAAGCTTATCTCTGGACTGAGATTGAGTGAGTTTGAGCGAGCAAAGAAGCAAAGGAATGAGGTAAAGAAGAAGGGCAAGCTTTGTGGTACCATGTGCCTAATTCCGTATATCTATGGTAAAACATCGCTGTTCAGCCACACCCCTCCAGTTTTGATAATCGATCGATCAATCGATCCATCAATGATTGATGGATAAGTCACAATCAATCGATCGATCAATGATCATGAATCGATCAATCAATCAATATAGGTCACAACTCAGTAAATCTCTGTAATCTATTAGAAAAAAGGAAGGATTTTTATCGATAATTTTGAAACAATCGGCGTGCCATAGTCTAGGTCTATTTGCGTTACGTCTTGTTTATGAACGGAAGAATACGAAGATTAAATTAGTATACTATTGTTGATAAATTTGGACCACGTGGGCAAAATTAATCTAGAGGGTGTGGTCAAAAAAGCAAGATGGCGGAAATTTTAACGTGACAAACTCAGATTGAGTTTCTAAGAGTTAAATAAGAGAGAGGGGCTGTCTAAAGCATCTCTAAAGGCTAAAGAACTTAAAAGCAGTTTGATCTAAGACTCCTCTAGATTAGTCCTCTCATTGACAGAATTAAAATTGTGAGGGAAGCTTGATTAGAAGTTTAGCTTGTCACTTTTTCTCAAAGTATTAGGACAGTTCATTCTTGTCACTTTTACTAGGTCATTTTGATCAGTGGTGTTAAATAGAAGGGTTTGCTCTGTTCAGACCCCACCGGACTATGAGGATGGGGTCTGAATATGCATGCACGTTAAGAGCTGGATTGATTTTATTTCAGTAGTTTTATTTCAAAAAGATGTTAATTGATGGAAGCTTGATTAAAAGTTTAGCTTGGAACATTTTTTCAAAGTGACAGGATAGTTCATCCTTGTCTCCTTTACTGGGTTATTTTGGTTGTGTTAACTGGTGTGTTTGCTCTGTTCAGACCCCGGCCATGAGGCTGGGGTCTGAATATGCATGCAGGCTAAGAGCTGCATTTATTATAATTTTAATCTTCTTATCAAACAATGTGAATTGATGGCTCGCCCCCTCAATGTTTACATTCACCTAGTTATGATGCATGCTGTGACGTCATATGAAACCGCTCTAGCTATACTATATTAGGGTTGAGCCTATTATTCTCATAAATTTTCCCAATATTCTTTCTGGAAATTCTTAATATTTTCCCCCATTATTCTTTTCATTTTATCCTATTATTCTCAATTTATTCTCAATAATTTTCTCAAACAATCAATTTTCACCTAAAAATTGCATTCTAGCAGTGTTTTACAAATAGGTCTTCCAAAAAACACTAGCAAAAAATTTTAAAATTTTCTTCTGCAATCACCATTGACCTCAACTCCACCCATTATTCCACTATTATTCCTATTTCCATCCAATTATTCCAGCATTATTCCTCATATGAGGAAGCCCCTATTATTCCTAAAATTATGCTGGAATAATAGGCTCATCCCTATACTATATCCCAACTGAGTTTGACCCAAGAAAAACTGGAATAACTTTTTCTAGAAATGCGGGATAAGGATGAGACTTTTACAGGTTCTTAGTCGCCCAATGCCATCACAGGATCTCAGGTCTTGGGTCTCTCAGCCCTTGGGAACCCTGAGAACCGGGTTCTCCCTATAGGCCCAATGGCATACCAAAATGACGTTTTATGACAATTTATCTACGTCATAGTTTACATAAGAACATGTGGTTGAGCGCCCAAACTGATAATTCTTGCTTTAAAAAGCTAACAGAGCTAGATCTTCTGATAATGATGGGCTTTATGAAGACTAGTTGACTCCAGCAGCTATTGTACTGCTTATCAGAACAAACAAAACCCATTTAAAAGTGAAACGCAGGCCTATATCGCAGCTGTAAAATGTCGGCCATGCTTCTATGAATATCATTATAAGACGTCATCAGTGACGTACACCTACATTTTTCAAATTCCAAGCGGCTGGTGTCAAATAGGGTTGAGCCTATTCTCATAAATTTTCCCATTATTCTTTCTGAAAATTCTTAATAATTTCCCCCATTATTCTTTTCATTTTATCCTATTATTCTCAATTTATTCTGAATAATTTTCTCAAACAATCAATTTTCACCTAAGAATTGCATCCCAGCAGTGTTTTAAAAATAGGTCTTCCAAAAAACACTAGCCAAAAATTTTAAAATTTTCTTCTGCAATCACCATTGACCTCAATTCCACCCATTATTCCACTATTATTCCTATTTCCATCCAATTATTCCAGCATTATTCCTCATATGAGGAAGCCCCTATTATTCCTAAAATTATGCTGGAATAATAGGCTCATCCCTAGTGTCAAATAGGGTTGAGCCTATTATTCTCATAAATTTTCCCATTATTCTTTCTGGAAATTCTTAATAATTTCCCCCATTATTCTTTTCATTTTATCCTATTATTCTCAATTTATTCTCAATAATTTTCTCAAACAATCAATTTTCACCTAAGAATTGCATTCCGGCAGTGTTTTAAAATAGGTCTTCCAAAAAACACTAGCCAAAAATTTTGAAAATTTCATCTGCAATCACCATTGACCTCAACTCGACCCATTATTCCACTATTATTCCTATTTCCACCCAATTATTCCAGCATTATTCCTCATATGAGGAAGCCCCTATTATTCCTAAAATTATGCTGGAATAATAGGCTCATCCCTAGTGTCAAACTCAGTTGGGATATACAGTGCTTTGCAGGTTGCTTGACCCAGTTTCTGCTCACGTGACATGTATTACTAGTATGGTGAGAGTCACGTGATTAACGAGTTTGCAGGGTCAAGCAACCTGCAAAGCACTGTAGTATAGCTAGATCGATCTAAATCGTCCTACGGTATG